TAAAACTTGGTTTTTCATGACTGCTAAGCTAAGAACAATGCGTACTGTAGATGCTTTAATAACAAGACTGAAATTCGAATTAAACTCAAAACCGGGTACCTGGGAATATCCTTGGGCAACAAGGCGTGCTTTGAGGCGGCCAACAAACCCATCTGCATGAAACTTCGTACGATACACCCATTTTGAGCCAACTACATTAACATGTTAGGGGCACGGAACAATGTCCCAAGTGTAGTTCTCGCGTAAGGCACTAATCTCATCATTCATTGCAGTAACCCAATCTGGAGATTTAGAAGCAAATTTAAAACCTTTAGGCTCAGATGTGTTCAACAAGGTAGTAAGAAGATCCGATCCATATATCCTTTTAGCAAGTGCAGGGTATTAAGCATTAGGTTGGAAAACACCATGTTGAGCTCTTGTAACTGGATTTGTTGAATTAGGATTAGACATATTTGAAGGTTGAAGTGGTGTTGGACTGTCACCAGAGGGAGAGACCAAGCAAGCATCTGGTTGTGGAATAGAAAAACCCTCAGATCTTGAAGAAGGGGTAGAGTGAGTAGAGTACGGGTAAAGAGAACATGGACTAGATATATATATATATATATATATATATATATATATATATATATATATATATATATATATATATATATATATATATATATATATATATATATATATATATCAGATTTCTTAGATACTTTAGTAGAAGTAGATCCTGGTATTTTGTTTACTATGCATGTAGATGAAGGATCAGTGAAACTAGAAAAATCCAAGTGTCACTTGGGTTAGGACGAGCCATCATAAGGAAAATATAACTCGTCAAATTATGTGTGGCATGTAGTATAAATATGACATGTTGTTGGATCAAGGAAGCTAAATCCTTTGTAGTTGACACTGTATCCAATAAAGATACATGGTTCACTTCATGGTTCAAGTTTATGGGTTGTACAGTCACAAAGGCATGGGAAAACTCAGCAACAAAATGGTCAAAACATGCCATAATTAGGATTGGCACCATAGAGTAGTTCAAAATGGAACTCGTGATCAAGGAGAGGTGATGGCATGTGCTTGATTATAAAAACAGCAGTACATAAAGCATCAAACCAGTATTTTGCATGCAAGTTAGCCTGAAACAACATGGTCAAACCCATTTTAATAACATGGCGGTGTTTGCGTTCAGCCTGCCCATTCTGAGATGGAGTATATGGACATGAGAGTTGATGATGAATGTCATGCATTTGTAAGAGTTCTTTAAAATGTACACTGATAAACTCTCCACCACCATCGCTTTGAAATATTTGTATTTTTTAAGAGAACTGGTTCTTAACCAGAGCTTGAAAACTCTTAAAAATGCCCAAAAATTCTGATTTTGATTTCAGCAGATACAACTGAAACGACCCAAAACATTATCCAAAAAATTTTGTTTTAATAATACTAAAATTCACATCATATATAATAAAACCATGTGAACAGCAACTCAAATGTCAGAGTACTGTGTCAAACAAATCTGTGTCAATCATAGTACCATCCAAAATAAACTCCCAGGATAAACTGAAGATGTGGTGTGTGCGGTGTCATCAACCCGAGTTCTTCCCTTTTCTTGCGGAAGTACCTGAAACCAAAACTGAAACTGTAAGCACGAAGCTTAGTGAGCTCCCCCAGAATACCACGTACCATACAATAACATATAAACATATATTAGACCTCACCCACTGCATCGGACCGAAGTCTGGAAACTGCATTGAACCGAAGTCCGGAACTGACTGGGACCTTGTCCCCTACATCGGATCGAAGTTCGGAACTAGTTGCATCGAACCGAAATCCGGAGCTAACTGGGACCTTGTCCCCTACATCGGACCGAAGTCTGGAACTAGCTGCATCGGACCAAAATTTGGAACTGACTGGGACCTTGTCCCCTGCATCGGACCGAAGTCCAAAAACTGACTGAGCATAACATAGCATAGCATAAACACATCAACTAGCATCAACACATATACTGCATACTGCATCGGACCGAAAGTCCGGAACACGTAACACAAAGACATGCTTGAATCACAGAGACATAAAGCACACTGAACTACTGCATCAGACCAAAGTCCAGAATTACTGCTAACTAAATGGGTTGGTATTGTGGTCGTAGACCCGTTCCTACTGGAAGGAAAACTCATCTCGTAGTGCTGGCTACGGAGATGCTAACTCTAACGGTAGCTGACTGCTGTGCCGGAACTGTCCGGCTACTATTTCCAAAAACACTAAATTAGTTACTGGTAAATGCTCTCGGGGTCAAATAACTATTTTACCCTTAGTCAAAGTCAACTTCCAGTTAACCGGACTCGCCGAGTTGGGCCATCAACTCGACGAGTCCCTATCATCCATTTAAGTCCTCTACCCTCTTCTACTCGTCGAGTTTGGCAAAGACTCGACGAGTTCTCCTTCGATGCAAACATCAAGTCTAACTTCATCTGACTCGCCGAGTTGCATAAACAACTCGTCTAGTTCCCCTTCCACATATGAACACGTCCAAACTGTGACTCGCCGAGTTGAAGAACAACTCGTCGAGTCTGAAGAATAACTCGTTGAGTTGAAGAACAACTCGCCGAGTTCCAAGCATGCTATTACTACACAATCGATTCTAATCGGTTCCAGTGCTTCCAAAACATAGATCTGAGCTTCTAGGATTGGTTTTTCACGTAAAGCTTCCAACTTTACGTGCATGCACAAGAGTATGAGGCTAAAATACCCAAAATCAACAAATACTGAGCACTTAGGGTTGGAATAAGGCCAAAATCGCATAAAGGTGATTCTAATGAGTTCCTGGGGTTCAATAACGTCCAGATCTAAGGTTTCCATTCCAAAAGAGAGTCCATTTTTCAAGTTTTGAATCATAAAAGATTCCAAAGAAGACATGACAAGCAAAAAAGGGGTTTTAAATGGAGGAATACACAAGGTTATAACTTCATTACCTAAATGAGAATGTAACAACCCATTATTTCAGGTCAATGTAATGTCTAAAAGTCAAGTCTTGTAATCTCTTTGTGAAGTAATAAGAATATCATCGAAAATGAAATGTTCAAAAAGTTCCATTTGAGTGCACTATGCGGTAGATATCGTGATAAGGTTTCCAAAAATATAAAAAACACTAAAATCCGAGTTATAACGAAGGAGTTATGACCAATCAAAGATTCGTAACACTACCGGTAAAGCATTGTTAAGCATAAAACGAGAAATTTCAATAAAATATTTTTTAGCCTTATATATCTAAATGAAAGTCATAAATATCATTAAACTGTGAACATACATAAAATGAACACCCAAATCTGACTTCGTATGAGGAAGTTATGATTTTATGAAGTTTCTGACATAGCAGTAGACAGCTAAAGACTCGAATTAAAGATCGAGCGATCTTTAACTAACATAACCTAAACGAAAGTTGAAGACCCTGACCATAGGAATACAACGGTAAAAGAGAGATAAAATCGAACGCCGGATGAAGAAGTTATGGATTTTTGACGGTATTTTCCAGTCCCGACGTGCTAAAAATGTATTATTAAATATAGAGTCAAAACTAGCCGATGGAGTCTAAATGAGAGTTGTAGAGTACAGTCTCACCTACACGTGGATATAATGAATGCCAGAAACGGAGCTCGTACACGGGAGTTACGAAATTTAGAAATTCTGGAAATCGATTTACGCACCGCGTAAAGGGGTACGCCCAGCATACCAGGCGATAAGGGCGTAATCCCTTTGGCAGCAAACATCCCATCCTCCGTCAAGAGGCTAACGTAAGAACCGACGTATGCTACGCCCCACGTAAGAGCGTACGCCCAGCGTACGAAGGCGGTTCAACCTCCTATAAAAAGGAGGCATTGGTTCCGAAATTCTTATTCAGTTCTTCTCTTTTCCCGCGCTTTTGCTCTGCGTTTTTCCACTCGAATCCATCCCGACATCCCGGTTTTCATACTCAAGATCCGAAGAAATTTCTACACTCCTGAGATTCCCGAGAATTTAACTCTCACTAGTCGAAGTTCTGCTCGATTCTTCTCTCGACTACTTCAAAACTGTTGGATCAATATTTTGGTTTATACTTTGCTTTTCTAGGAAATTGATTTGTTATGTAATATTGTTTAGCTGTTTACGATCGGTGAGTGAGTTTACGGCCGTAAACCCTGTTTACGGCCCATATTCTCGTGTGTGTGTGTGTGTATATACTATAAAAGTTTTAGGCCCGTGCTAAGCACGACCCAAAGAAAATAATTTAGGTATTATTTTAGTGTAATCTAATGTCACAATGAAGGTAGGGTGATATAGGTAAAAGATTACTATGAATTTGGCATAAACATTTTTTAATATAATATACATTCCAAGCTTTACATTGCGAAGTTTAAGTGAAATATATCATTGACATATTCAGTAACATAAAATACATACATTAATTTACATTAATAAGTGTTTTATTGCTTCACTACCAGGTAATACATAAATATATCATTTACATATTCAGTAACATAATATACATAATTAATTTACCTTAATAGGTGTTTATTGTTTAACCATCACTTAATACATAAATATATCATTTACATATTCAATAACATAATATACATACATTACTTTCCATTGGCAGGTGTTTATTGCCTCACCATTATGTGATATAGAGAACGAATGAAATATCCAATGTCAACATCTTGATAATAATTTGGTTCCTGCAAATACATTACAAATTTAAAATCAAATTAAATATAAAACAAAATGTAGCTACAATTTATATTGATATGCATTCCATATTTGAGTTCAAGTACAAATGGAATTCGTGCTTTTAATTTGAATATTTACCAAAGGAAGTTGACAACTTCTCTAATGTCTCTAAATCGAAAATTATGATGTTGCTATTTGCATAATATATGAGTAAGTAATAATGATGCTTCCACAAAGTTGTATTTAACAAAAATTGATGCTGACATGAATTTTATTTAAAAAAATGATTGTTAATGAAATACCTATTTCATTTTTTTAGATGGTCTTATAGGAGCAGCTGTTGAAGTTTCAATGCCCTTGGATCTCTCGATTTGATGTTGGCTACGCTTTTGTGTTTGCATAGATGAAGGTGTTTTGGTTGATGATTGAGGGTCAGGTGGGTTTGATGTTTCGATTTGTTGTTGGTTATGGGTGTTTTGTTGTTGAGGATTATATGCCTTAACAATGACAAATCTTTTGGTAGGTTTTTGTTGATGATATGTTTGATATGATCGTACAAATGCTACAATTGATAAAGATTTAATTGATGCTGCAATTTTGACATGAACTTCTTCTCCCTGGAACAATTACACAATTACTGGCTACTCATTTGGTATTAATTTACTTCTTTACATATGGATAAATGACAGAATATTTATCCTTACATTTTCTTCGGCTTCTCTAAGTGAATTTGGATTAAACTGAATGAACTTTTCTATATCTGGTGTAGAAATAGTCGCACAAATGGATCCGCTTCCATCATCGATATTAATTGTTGCTCTTGACCTGTTCATTCAAATTCATGTAGTATTAATGTTTTTGTAGATTACAATTTATTATATTAATTTACTTACCTGATTCTAACTTTGGATTCACTTTTTCATACAGGACATGTGATGGTCCAACTAACATCTGCTTCAATTGGCTTCAAGCAATTAGCACATTCAGTTTGTGTGAAACTCCTGTCCTGATGTGGAAAACTGAGATTCCCTTTAACCCACGTTGGTTTACCCTATTATAAAAAAGTATATCTTGATTTGTATTTATCTTCGGATTAGAAAAGTTATTAATTTGTATAATGATCTAGGTTTGTGTACTCACATTTTCCATCCTTGTGACTGCTACAGCCATTGGAATTATGTCCTCTTCTTCGGGATGTGGCAAAAGAATATCAGTATCTTTGTATGATTCCTTTCGAAGTAACTCTTTTATTTCGTTGTTGTTTTGTTGAAACCTGTTAAGTAGATTGAAGTTACCATTGATATCAATAGTTGGCTAGTTGTTTTGTTTGAAAATACCAGTTATCTAGTTGTAGGTCTGCCTTGACTGGTGGATTTATAAGGATTGAAGATCCATTAGTTATTGACAATGATAGCCCTGCATTGGGAGTTACTTGGTGATATCCTTTTCGTATATACGGAAATATAGATGTTTAAATTGTTTTAGTTAAGTGGCCTTACCATAGAAAGTTGTGACCTTCACTCTTATAGCAAATATCATTGGCCCATTCTGGGTCAATTCTTCTATTGCTTTTCCTTCATTGTCATTCAAGGAATCCCATAATGTAAGTATAAGCAGTTTTTTCCTGATAATAAAATAGACAAATGTAAAAGAAAATAATAATGTAGCTACAAAAAACGTAATGAGGTTGGATTGGTGTTTGTTGGTTAATTTTTGTACATACTCTTCATTCACAATAATCACATCTCTCTTTGATGATGTTTTTGCTCCTTGATCTATTTGTTGACTTGGAAAGCATTTAATAACGACCCCTCGTACATCTGTGAATTTAGAACAATATCATGAGTGATGTTGTAGTAAGTTTAAGGTGATAATGCGAAATATGTAAAGTTTGTCTCACTTTGGTTGTTTCCTGCATCTGCGTACTTGAACATCTGACTAAAAGGAGTGAATGTGAATAGGCATGGGAGTGGTGGTGGACTTAGCTCTGGCTGCGGTTCAACGAGGGTATGTTTGGTGAGTGACCACGAATGTTCGTATGAACTGAGTCGATATCTTGGTTCTGTTGGTATCAACTTTGCATTGGAAATTCGATAGCATTTGTATGCTTGGAATGTGTTTTTATAAAATTCCAGATAGCTACTAAAGATTAAGGCTGATACCTTAGTTCCCTGTTATTTGTACACAAGAATTAACATAATATATTTTGAACAAAGATGCAATTTAATGTTGTTTTACCTGTGTATCAATAAATATAAGTCTTCTATAGTTGCTTTTGGTCTTGCTCTGTTTTGTGTTCCCACATTCTAAAACTTGAATGATGACAGTCCATTTTTTGTTATGGTTGGGAGTAATATCCAATATGTTTGATAGTTCTCTCTCCATGTGGTCGTGTTTCTGCTTATTTGTCATCTGAAAATATTACAATGTTTTTTCTGGTACATGGTTGATGTCAATACTTGTACATGAATTGGTTAACATGTCATAAATAGTTAGGGAACAACATGTAAGTGGATATTTATATTTGGACTTGATATCATTATTGCACAATGTTTTTATTATAATAAACTGTTATTAGAAATTTTTGGTATTGTTATATTTTTAGTTTATAAGGGGATACAATTAAATCAAGAAATGGAAACATATACAAAAATAACAGATGACCATATGCATGCCATGTGAGAGGGAAATACATAAATAAAAATCATTACAATCGCTGGCCATTGACAGATGGGAAGAGGTGAATTTAAGTCTGGGTTGTGGTGATGTTTAAATTGATTTGAAGAATAGAGAAGATGATTATGAAATTGAAATGAGAATACCATAACTTATTCTCTAATGTTTTGTTATGAAGAGACATGAACGATGGTTGACAATTGAAAAAATTCGCATGGTTCTCAACTTAAAATCATTATGCTAATGGCAACAATAATACAGTAAGTTGGAACATAACTGGATTCTTATGTGTGGAGAATTGTAGAAATGATGATGAAAATTGAAGATCTTACGAATTTTGAGGAAGCGGAAAGTATTCCTTTGATTGATGCCGCCTTTTTGTTGTGTGTAGGTTGTCCTTGAAATATGATTTAAACAAAATATTGATGCCATTAATAACTGCATTGCGGTTACATGATGATTATTAAATTCGGTTTGTCAGTTACTTATTCTCCGTATGCAGGTTAGATGGATGGTCGTCTGTAATTATTTCCATCTAACATTTTAATAACAATTATTATGTAAATTTAATATTATAGACATTCAAGTTTTTGGAGCATTTTGTTTCCTCCTTTTAAAAGGGTATTTTGGTCTTAATCTAGTTTCTTATTATTAGAAAAAGAACAGATAACAAATTAATATTGTATTTGTAAATTATTATGTTTAATAGTCACATTTATAAAGTTAAATATGAAACAAGGAGGTGTTGTAAAAGTTGTAAATTTTTATTTATAGTTTATAAGTTCGTTAGTATTTAACTTTGATAATATTTTCAATTTTAAGTAAACATTATTGTGGAGCTATGGTTATAAAAGGATTGTAATACAACACTTTATTTCAAATAACTTTCAAATACATTAATCAAAACTTAATTCCCTTTGTAAATTTATTCAAAGAACAATTTTCCAACAGAATAACAAAGAAAAAAGTGTTACATAAGCCTGGTACAAGAAAGTCATTTAAATATCATATCTATTTTCATATGTGTCCCTACTTACTAATGTAAAATTGTGTCCGTACCAAGTAAATAGATAAATTACAAACTTTCATTGGTCTCTTTACAAATCTTTAATTATGTTGTTGAGTACACCCCCAAAAATGTATATCATCAAAGAAATGATAGTTGTGTCATCATTTTTTTGTTCTTATTCCACATACTACATGGAGACTCCTATTCTTCGTTGTATTTGTGTCGGTCCAATAATCCATGAAAGTGGTCTTGGCTATTTTTTCCTTAGAGCATTCCCCTAGAAATTGGAAAAGTAATAAAAAAAAAGTTACATATGATCTCCATGAAAAAAAAACCCATCTTTTAATTTTGGTGAACATGAAAAGTTCTTCTTATGATATGTAAGAAACTATATTTGACAATGCTTCTTATTAAGTTCATTTCTACAGTGAAACTGAGAAAATAAAAGGTTAAAATTAACTAAACCTTATATTTACTTCAACTTTTCTGACTACCAGATACTGACGGGTCCAACCTGAAATCTGAGGTAAAAGAGAATCAAATTGATAATTAAAATATTTATATAAAAGTAAATATCATTACCATTTTCATTTGGAATCCAGTGACATTACTTTTCCACCAATAAAAACTAAATTCCTTGAAACAAATTTGAAATGTTATCAGGTTGTTTCATGCATGGTAAACCTTAAATGGCTTAGTTGTGTTGGCAAATTGTACTACAACTCCAATAGCAACACCATCTACAACACTGTTTTAATTCCTCTATATAATTATATGAATTAGTAAAAAAAACCATTTTAACTTCATAAATGAATGTGGCAGATGTGAAGTTGAAACATGCGAGACATGACTCTTGACTGTTAAATGTGACATTGATTTGCACCTGGTATAAAATTATAGCAGGGTATTGGAGGTTCGATGGAAGGTAATATATAATAGATGCTAAGCCCTTAGTTCATGGAGTACAATTAACAGGTCCAACCTGAAATCTGAGGTAAATGATAAACAAGATAGATAATTGAGCATATTTAATTATAAGACTAATTCAAAATGTATACCTGACTTGGTCATTAGTTGTGTGGTTGCTATAATTCCCTTAGACAGGTTGCCTTTGAAAACTTCTATTGTTACAGACATGCCTCATCCAATATACAATTCAATTGCATGAGAATATACAAAAGTTGCAGAATTAGTACAACGATGTTACATTAACCTACCACGAAATAATTACATGTAAAATATTAACAAACCTTCAATATGATTCATGTAGATAACAACAGGGGACATTGGGCTTGAAATGAACTACTACCATGAGTGTTGTTAACATCACCTGTGTACTTTCTAAAAATTTCTAAATTGTTGATTTTTTGATGTGATATTTGACCTGCAAAATTGAATTCAAACTTTCATTAATTGGCTATTTTTTGATAAATTGTAAAGGTTTACAAGAATTGTAAGTAATTTTTGGAAGTAGGAATGTACACCTGGTTGGCATATTGTAAGACTTCCTGATATACAATATTTTTGGTTTTTTGGGTGTCAGTACCATTTTGTGATTGATTAATAACAACTTTAACATTTTCAATTGTTCTAGCTCGTGATAGAGCAACATACAATTGTCCGTGGGAAAAAACATGCTCTTTTAGATATACACCTACACGGTCTAGGGTTTGACCTTGTGCTTTGTTAATTGTCATTGCAAAGCATAGTTTGATTGGAAATTGCATTCTTTTGAATGGAACTGTGTATTCTTCACCTGTTGGTGGTTGTAAATGTTGGGTTTTAGCCATAAGAACTTTCCTATGTGCGCATGCAAAACCCTATTGCTCGGATCTAGGCTTTCTATCAAACATGCTTTTGAATCCAAGACTTCTAATGGCTAATTAGGTTAAACAATAACATTAATATAGATCTAGAATCATACCTTTGAGTTCCTTGTTGATCTTCTTGTCTTGGAGCTTCTAGAGTCACAATTGTCACTCCTCTGATGGTTCACAAACACCAATAGCAAGCAAGATGATTTAGGAGAGAGGAGAGGGGATGAAATTCGGCCAGAGGTTCCTTTCTTTAGGTTCTGAAAGCTTGTCCACGAATTCCACACCCCAAGGGCCTATTTATACCTTTAGACTCCTTAAGGGTTTCACCCTAAACCCTAATTGGATAATCTTCACTTAAGGCTATCCAAATCCATTCCATAGATATCCTTATGGACTATTTTTGAGCTATCCTAAAGCTCTTAGAAACCGTCCAAAGTCCATCCTAATGGATTTATAGTCTAAAGTCTAACTATCAAACAATTGACAGTTTATACCCTCTTATTTAATTAATCTCTTTAAGTCACCAAATTAATACCAATTAATTATGACTTATATTAATCAAATAGCTAAATATTATTCCTTATAATATTTACTCTCTCTTAACAAATCATCCTTCAAGTTGCTATGGTGAAGGCAACCCAAAAGGACCATGCACCACCGAATATAGTTATAGCCTTAGACACTATTCCAACAGTCTCCCACTTGGATAAGTCTAGTAACTATACAAGTATAATACGGTTTGCAATCGTAGCTCTCAAAGACGCTGTCAACTCTGATCTAATCAATCTTGTCCTTTAGATAAGGGATCGTACAGTCCTCTGTTAGATATCATGCTGACAATCCTATGGAATGGTTAGTCTAGCATTTAGATTTCTCGATCTTCGATTTATTTGACATAGAACTTAATCGAACACATCAATTCAGTTCTGACCGGGCCCGGCACATAAGTCAAATCAAATCATCGAGTGGCCAAGATATCTCTTCTACCCTCTTAGGATAAAATTTACAGATAAACTTCGACTTATATGCATTTACTTATTCATTAACCAACTATACACAACAATGCGTTTTATAACATCAAGTTACTGATGCGTTTTCGCATTATCAATGCACAATCAATTAACAAATAATAAACCATATATCTAGGTTTTAAGACCATATGATATTATCGTCTTGCGATCACCTTTTATATCGTATTCCATAAGGTGATTCCAGCAAGCGCGGGTTTATTCCAATGCTCAAAACCAGTTCGTAAGCACTCATGAACGTTGCAGCAACTCTTGCTATGTCTAACACCATTTAGACACTCTACACACCAATTCACGACAATCTTCATTCATATCTACTCCCAACATATGAACGATTGTGGACCATTTGAATAATTCGATTATTCCTAATAAACTCAATTATTCTGGAAGTCAAAACATGCAAAGTGAAACAATAGTTAAACAACTAACATGTGATAGTAACTTTACTCATAAATAAAACTTCTTTATTTAATCATCAAATGTTAATTACATTTATCTATTATACGTTTCTAATACAATCTAATCTATGCTAATATCATCCTTCAGCCCAATACTCCTAGCATGCTGTAAGTGCTTAACCCTACTCAGTCCCTTCGTAAGCGGATCTGCTGGGTTATCTTCTGATGATATCCTCTTCACTACGAGTTGTCCTTCTTCTACACGATGTCTAATGAAGTGATATTTTCTGTCGATATGTCGAGATCTACCATGATCCCTCGGTTCCTTGGTCAAGGCAACCGCACCTTCGTTATCACAGAAAATCTCCATGGGCTCCTTTATGGCCGGTACAACTCCAAGATCACCGATGAAGTTCTTCAGCCATATTGCCTCCTTCGACGCTTCGCTCGCTGCGATGTACTCTGATTCGCACGTTGAATCAGC